TGTTGTTGCTGTTGTGAGTGTTGTTGTCTCGTCCTTCCCGACTAGAAATTGTTGCTTTGTCCTTCCCGACTAGAAATTGTTGCTTTGTCCTTCCCGACTAGATTGTAGTTGTTGTTGCTGTTGTGAGTGTTGTTGTCTCGTCCTTCCCGACTAGAAATTGTTGCTTTGTCCTTCCCGACTAGAAATTGTTGCTTTGTCCTTCCCGACTAGATTGTAGTTGTTGTTGCTGTTGTGAGTGTTGTTGTCTCGTCCTTCCCGACTAGAAATTGTTGCTTTGTCCTTCCCGACTAGAAATTGTTGCTTTGTCCTTCCCGACTAGATTGTAGTTGTTGTTGCTGTTGTGAGTGTTGTTGTCTCGTCCTTCCCGACTAGAAATTGTTGCTTTGTCCTTCCCGACTAGAAATTGTTGCTTTGTCCTTCCCGACTAGATTGTAGTTGTTGTTGCTGTTGTGAGTGTTGTTGTCTCGTCCTTCCCGACTAGAAATTGTTGCTTTGTCCTTCCCGACTAGAAATTGTTGCTTTGTCCTTCCCGACTAGATTGTAGTTGTTGTTGCTGTTGTGAGTGTTGTTGTCTCGTCCTTCCCGACTAGAAATTGTTGCTTTGTCCTTCCCGACTAGAAATTGTTGCTTTGTCCTTCCCGACTAGATTGTAGTTGTTGTTGCTGTTGTGAGTGTTGTTGTCTCGTCCTTCCCGACTAGAAATTGTTGCTTTGTCCTTCCCGACTAGAAATTGTTGCTTTGTCCTTCCCGACTAGATTGTAGTTGTTGTTGCTGTTGTGAGTGTTGTTGTCTCGTCCTTCCCGACTAGAAATTGTTGCTTTGTCCTTCCCGACTAGAAATTGTTGCTTTGTCCTTCCCGACTAGATTGTAGTTGTTGTTGCTGTTGTGAGTGTTGTTGTCTCGTCCTTCCCGACTAGAAATTGTTGCTTTGTCCTTCCCGACTAGAAATTGTTGCTTTGTCCTTCCCGACTAGATTGTAGTTGTTGTTGCTGTTGTGAGTGTTGTTGTCTCGTCCTTCCCGACTAGAAATTGTTGCTTTGTCCTTCCCGACTAGAAATTGTTGCTTTGTCCTTCCCGACTAGATTGTAGTTGTTGTTGCTGTTGTGAGTGTTGTTGTCTCGTCCTTCCCGACTAGAAATTGTTGCTTTGTCCTTCCCGACTAGAAATTGTTGCTTTGTCCTTCCCGACTAGATTGTAGTTGTTGTTGCTGTTGTGAGTGTTGTTGTCTCGTCCTTCCCGACTAGAAATTGTTGCTTTGTCCTTCCCGACTAGAAATTGTTGCTTTGTCCTTCCCGACTAGATTGTAGTTGTTGTTGCTGTTGTGAGTGTTGTTGTCTCGTCCTTCCCGACTAGAAATTGTTGCTTTGTCCTTCCCGACTAGAAATTGTTGCTTTGTCCTTCCCGACTAGATTGTAGTTGTTGTTGCTGTTGTGAGTGTTGTTGTCTCGTCCTTCCCGACTAGAAATTGTTGCTTTGTCCTTCCCGACTAGAAATTGTTGCTTTGTCCTTCCCGACTAGATTGTAGTTGTTGTTGCTGTTGTGAGTGTTGTTGTCTCGTCCTTCCCGACTAGAAATTGTTGCTTTGTCCTTCCCGACTAGAAATTGTTGCTTTGTCCTTCCCGACTAGATTGTAGTTGTTGTTGCTGTTGTGAGTGTTGTTGTCTCGTCCTTCCCGACTAGAAATTGTTGCTTTGTCCTTCCCGACTAGAAATTGTTGCTTTGTCCTTCCCGACTAGATTGTAGTTGTTGTTGCTGTTGTGAGTGTTGTTGTCTCGTCCTTCCCGACTAGAAATTGTTGCTTTGTCCTTCCCGACTAGAAATTGTTGCTTTGTCCTTCCCGACTAGATTGTAGTTGTTGTTGCTGTTGTGAGTGTTGTTGTCTCGTCCTTCCCGACTAGAAATTGTTGCTTTGTCCTTCCCGACTAGAAATTGTTGCTTTGTCCTTCCCGACTAGATTGTAGTTGTTGTTGCTGTTGTGAGTGTTGTTGTCTCGTCCTTCCCGACTAGAAATTGTTGCTTTGTCCTTCCCGACTAGAAATTGTTGCTTTGTCCTTCCCGACTAGATTGTAGTTGTTGTTGCTGTTGTGAGTGTTGTTGTCTCGTCCTTCCCGACTAGAAATTGTTGCTTTGTCCTTCCCGACTAGAAATTGTTGCTTTGTCCTTCCCGACTAGATTGTAGTTGTTGTTGCTGTTGTGAGTGTTGTTGTCTCGTCCTTCCCGACTAGAAATTGTTGCTTTGTCCTTCCCGACTAGAAATTGTTGCTTTGTCCTTCCCGACTAGATTGTAGTTGTTGTTGCTGTTGTGAGTGTTGTTGTCTCGTCCTTCCCGACTAGAAATTGTTGCTTTGTCCTTCCCGACTAGAAATTGTTGCTTTGTCCTTCCCGACTAGATTGTAGTTGTTGTTGCTGTTGTGAGTGTTGTTGTCTCGTCCTTCCCGACTAGAAATTGTTGCTTTGTCCTTCCCGACTAGAAATTGTTGCTTTGTCCTTCCCGACTAGATTGTAGTTGTTGTTGCTGTTGTGAGTGTTGTTGTCTCGTCCTTCCCGACTAGAAATTGTTGCTTTGTCCTTCCCGACTAGAAATTGTTGCTTTGTCCTTCCCGACTAGATTGTAGTTGTTGTTGCTGTTGTGAGTGTTGTTGTCTCGTCCTTCCCGACTAGAAATTGTTGCTTTGTCCTTCCCGACTAGAAATTGTTGCTTTGTCCTTCCCGACTAGATTGTAGTTGTTGTTGCTGTTGTGAGTGTTGTTGTCTCGTCCTTCCCGACTAGAAATTGTTGCTTTGTCCTTCCCGACTAGAAATTGTTGCTTTGTCCTTCCCGACTAGATTGTAGTTGTTGTTGCTGTTGTGAGTGTTGTTGTCTCGTCCTTCCCGACTAGAAATTGTTGCTTTGTCCTTCCCGACTAGAAATTGTTGCTTTGTCCTTCCCGACTAGATTGTAGTTGTTGTTGCTGTTGTGAGTGTTGTTGTCTCGTCCTTCCCGACTAGAAATTGTTGCTTTGTCCTTCCCGACTAGAAATTGTTGCTTTGTCCTTCCCGACTAGATTGTAGTTGTTGTTGCTGTTGTGAGTGTTGTTGTCTCGTCCTTCCCGACTAGAAATTGTTGCTTTGTCCTTCCCGACTAGAAATTGTTGCTTTGTCCTTCCCGACTAGATTGTAGTTGTTGTTGCTGTTGTGAGTGTTGTTGTCTCGTCCTTCCCGACTAGAAATTGTTGCTTTGTCCTTCCCGACTAGAAATTGTTGCTTTGTCCTTCCCGACTAGATTGTAGTTGTTGTTGCTGTTGTGAGTGTTGTTGTCTCGTCCTTCCCGACTAGAAATTGTTGCTTTGTCCTTCCCGACTAGAAATTGTTGCTTTGTCCTTCCCGACTAGATTGTAGTTGTTGTTGCTGTTGTGAGTGTTGTTGTCTCGTCCTTCCCGACTAGAAATTGTTGCTTTGTCCTTCCCGACTAGAAATTGTTGCTTTGTCCTTCCCGACTAGATTGTAGTTGTTGTTGCTGTTGTGAGTGTTGTTGTCTCGTCCTTCCCGACTAGAAATTGTTGCTTTGTCCTTCCCGACTAGAAATTGTTGCTTTGTCCTTCCCGACTAGATTGTAGTTGTTGTTGCTGTTGTGAGTGTTGTTGTCTCGTCCTTCCCGACTAGAAATTGTTGCTTTGTCCTTCCCGACTAGAAATTGTTGCTTTGTCCTTCCCGACTAGATTGTAGTTGTTGTTGCTGTTGTGAGTGTTGTTGTCTCGTCCTTCCCGACTAGAAATTGTTGCTTTGTCCTTCCCGACTAGAAATTGTTGCTTTGTCCTTCCCGACTAGATTGTAGTTGTTGTTGCTGTTGTGAGTGTTGTTGTCTCGTCCTTCCCGACTAGAAATTGTTGCTTTGTCCTTCCCGACTAGAAATTGTTGCTTTGTCCTTCCCGACTAGATTGTAGTTGTTGTTGCTGTTGTGAGTGTTGTTGTCTCGTCCTTCCCGACTAGAAATTGTTGCTTTGTCCTTCCCGACTAGAAATTGTTGCTTTGTCCTTCCCGACTAGATTGTAGTTGTTGTTGCTGTTGTGAGTGTTGTTGTCTCGTCCTTCCCGACTAGAAATTGTTGCTTTGTCCTTCCCGACTAGAAATTGTTGCTTTGTCCTTCCCGACTAGATTGTAGTTGTTGTTGCTGTTGTGAGTGTTGTTGTCTCGTCCTTCCCGACTAGAAATTGTTGCTTTGTCCTTCCCGACTAGAAATTGTTGCTTTGTCCTTCCCGACTAGATTGTAGTTGTTGTTGCTGTTGTGAGTGTTGTTGTCTCGTCCTTCCCGACTAGAAATTGTTGCTTTGTCCTTCCCGACTAGAAATTGTTGCTTTGTCCTTCCCGACTAGATTGTAGTTGTTGTTGCTGTTGTGAATGTTGTTGTCTCGTCCTTCCCGACTAAAAGCGTTGCATTTTTTTCGATTGTTTTGGAGAAAAGACTTCGTGGTGAGTTTAATAAGGAGTTCCTTCCTAGAAAAACTCTCTACTTTTCCTTTTTTCCTATAATTTATGAGAGGAGGAGAAGTATTATGTGGGATTATTACATCAGTATTAAGTGAAGTGATAAAGAATTCTAGTGGTGTCATGTCGATAATTATGCTCGTGCTTGAATCGCCTTGTTCCTATCATCAGATACAAGCTACGTAAAGGAGGGGCGTCGTCTAGGAGATGAGGACTGAGGGCAGAGGAGTTGGAGGTTGATGTTTCAAGGTGGGAGATGCGCCGACTCTCTCTCATTGTGGTCGCAATCCATGAGTCCTTTCTGAGCAACGTTTCTTTTTCCGAGGCAGCAACTTTTGTGTTCACAGACCGATTCTCTTTTTTCCCGCCACAGTGACGACAGGACCGAGAGAACAACTCTTGAATGATCCGACAAAGGCATTACTTCAGCTCACAGACACTATGCAGAGCATAGCCACTCTCGTTCTGAACAACTTCAAGAACTCGCAGCAGGACAAATATCAGAGGGCTCCATATGAAAACCCTTATGTAGGTACATGAACATGATCAACATCTATTGCTGCTTTCGAACTATTAAGTCGTGACGGTTCATGGTATCGATACCCGCGGGAGGGAGGAGATATATTGCGTTTTTGAGGGGGGGGCTACATGAAACATTATTGATACATGACGGAGGTACTGGTTGTAATTCTGAGAGGAGCTGCATTGGCAAGAGGGAAGGAAGGGTTGCATCTTGATCTTCAAAAGCAGGAAGATGAATACTAGGTATGGTAAATAATCTTTCGTGAGAATAGCAATTATAGGTGTGAAAGCATGAATCAATAAACTAGAGTCTGAGTGTGCAGAGCTGCAAGAAGGACAAATCATTAAGACCAGCATTGTTGAGAATGCAGACATATTACAACTATATCTTGCTCTTCCTCATCCACAGCAACAGACTTCTGTCTTTGTCCTTCATATTTTCGACGTTTTTTTATCGGGTAAGTATACCAGGCACAATAAGAGCCTCCTATTCATTGCTACTAGTACTAAGCAAATGAAAGCACGAGCGTGGTCGTCACATTGTTACTAGGTTCTCTGAAGAGTAAATGTAATAGCAAGGTGTGTGGTCTGTTTGTTTTTCTATTTGCTAGATCATCAGATGTAATTTCTTTCGTTTGTAAGAGTTGTCATTCTCGGGAAGATAAGTAGCAGAAACACTCGTCCACGAGTAGAAGACCCCTCTTTCCGTCCTAATTTCGGTGACGAAGCAACTCCTCGTTTTCACTGTTCCTATCGATCCTGTGAAGAGAGAGAGAGCGAAGGATGCGAAACAGACGTACTAGGAATGTTGGAGAGAACAAATCTTCCTCACACCGCTCCGATGAAACGATGCTATCGCCTGACGAGTCACAGCAACATACTCGATGATAGGGGAAGCCATCGCCCAACCCACTTAGAAATGGAATTCCCCAAAGGGTCTTGCTCAGCGAAAACGCCTAGGAAGAAATTGCGAAATTCGAGGGTCAACGGTTTCGGTTTTTGAGAGATTCTTCATAGGATCATTTGACGTGAATCCTGTTCGTCAAGATGTCGTTGTCGTAATATATAACGATGTTACAAAACTACTAGTCCTAAACCTTTCTTGGAAACTCAATCACTAGTTGGAAAGAGCGAGTAGCTAGGAAAAGCAGTACTTTCAGGAGCACTGGCACTAAGGAAGAAATTGTGAAATTCACTGTCCAACTTTCGCACAGTGTACTCGCACACGAGGATATGAAATTCACTTACAAACATCCTAGCCTCGGGTGCGAGTACACTGTGCGAAAATAGCACCTTGTCTGTCCTGTGGCGCAACGCCCTTGCTGACTCTGGAATTCGTGTCTCCAAGACTGCCTGAAGAACAGGTCGAGAGATATTTCTCGTACATGGAGGAGGACGAGGAGGAGGTAGGTTAGGTTTTGGATGCCTGGCCTGTGAAAACTCCACAGCATGGCACCTATACGAAATCGCAGTAAGATTATCAGTCAACTTGTAGGAGGTGATAGCCTTCCGGTAGTAATCGATTCAATATGAAATGAAATAAAATCCATCATAATTACTGGTCCTAGTTGTAGATAATATATAAGCTTCGAAGCGGAGAGAACAGTGCTAGAATGAAGATAAACAACTCCTAGTCGTACGTAATAAAGTACCGCCTGTGTCGTTCGTATGCTGAAGAAAAGCACGCTCAGACCCATCTTCATAGACCTCTTGGATGGCGCTGATGATACTCCGCAATCCAATCCAAGTACTCGCCCTCTTTATATCGCTTATTCAGTCGGTCTTCATGCAAAAGACTCATAAAAGTGCCTCTTGTTCGTATAATCGCCTACAAAGTCGACCTTCATGCGAAAGACCGAACAGCAACCCATCTCGCAAACTTCGGAGACTGTTAACGACAGACCTGCATGAAAAAAATTATAGACAAAGTCATGCTGGTCAAGCTACAAGTAGGTAAGTGCGCAAGAAAAGTTTGTGTTGAAGATGACCACCTTGACTTCGAGATATTTAGAGTTACTCCCACCTTATCAAACTGCTGTAGCAAGTTCCTCCGTTCGCATACGGAGAACTCTTTCCCACACTGTTCCGCTCCGCAACTCGAAACGATGCAATTGCACGGAGAAACCCTTCCCACACCGTTCCGCTCCGCTACTCGAAACTGTGT